CCTGCTGAAGATTTGATCCAGAAAGCTCGAGATGTTACCATGAAGCCATAAAACATTTTAGCAATGGACCCTGATCTACCATTTGGGATATAGCTCTTAAACCAGGGTCAACATTATGACTAATACGTCAGTAAAAGACAAAACGGACTAGTAAATTAAAAAAAAAAAAAAACTTATCACCATAAGAGTACCTAGGAACAAATCCGTTTTGCACTATCCAGCTCTAGGCTCTGAACACATATCCATTTCTCCTACCTGAGGCATGGACTCTATCAGCCTTGATTTCCCTTACAAGAGATGCATAGGCAGAGGGTCATTCTTGGCAAACTCTTCTTTAGGCCACTCTGTTCTTTCTAAGCTACCGTTATCACTAAAGTAGTCCCTAAATACTGTCTGTACATTTTAAAAAGCTCCTTCCGGAACAAGAGATGTTCCAAAAGTATTCGCACATACACATCTATTTCCTCCGAGGCAGTCATCTTCACAAATCTCCACTGCCTAAAGTACGACTCCACTAGCATTTCTATCTGACTCTGCCATGAACTAACAGCTAAGCCACTGCTTATGGCCACAATTTTAAGGCATAACGGAGGACTGAACACAGACAACTCCCAGAAGGCAAAAACAGTGTCTGTGTCCAGCCAGCACTACCAAATGTATCCTTGGCGCATATTTTGATTTACTCCTTGTCAGAGGCACAGCAGCTTGTGCATTCCCCAGAAAGACTAAGCTACGAAGGGCTGAGAGCCTCATTTGCAGATGTTTTCCTCAAGGGAAACACTACCCTCCTGGCACAACCCAGCTTTATCTCAAGAGCCAGCTACCTAATGCATCCCAATGTTTTAACTAGGCTGTCATCCTATTGTAAAGCAGATAAATTGAACTTCTTTGCAATGATTTTTCAAGGAGACAAGGATGTTTTAACATTCAACTCTCTTTTGTTGTCACCCTAAACTGATTCTGCAAAGCAATGCCAGCTTCAAATACCAATCATTTTATCGCTCAGACTAACTCAGACAAGAGCAATGGGCTTCAGAAAAGGAGCCACTTGACTTGGCACAGAAAGAAAACAATTTTTTTCAGTGAGCAGCTCCCACAGAAATGAGTCAGTAGGCCTTACGGAACAGAAAACAGAAGTTGCCATAGAAACTTGCATGCCTTATACTAGGAGGAGAAAAAAATGTAGGCCAATATTTCTGCTTAGCTGGCTCTTGCTCTTGGTTTGATACTCAGTTTGCCTGGATCCTAGGGCTGTATTAGCAACTTCTATTTATTTATTTTTTCCCCAACTGAGAAACGCCCTTGCCCCCACCTCCCTAGGAAACTGCTGCTTTGCGCGTGCACACACACGCACACACACACACAGACACACACACACACAGACACACACACACGCGCGCGCGTGCGCATGTACACAGAGACGCACACACACATCAGCTGAGCCACTGCTAAGAAACTGTTGCTGGGTTACTACGAATCAGGAATCACCACTTTCTCCTGCAGCAGGTTAAGTGCATCTAATGGAGCGCTTGGGAATGTATTATTAACAGTGGGCTGATAAGTACTCCAGCACATGAGCGAGTTTCAACCATCAGCAAACAGCATTCTTTCATAGCGTGCACGATATGAACATAGCAAATAGGGTGAAAGAAGAGTAACAGATTTAAAATAAAACATTTACATTGGATTATTCCAGCCACCTTTGATTTAAAATAGACTCTTTTTCTCTGTACTGTAGTTTTCTCATCTGTAAAACAAGGGTGATCCCTCAGTAGGGTGGAAAGACACATGATTCGTTAATATATGTAAAGCCTTCAGATATGCTCTGAGGGAAGGGGTTACATAAAGCATATGAATACAGATGTATGGCCTGATCTTTTATTCCTTGCTAATCCACATATGTTTTCTATCTAAGTAACTGCAGTAGGTAATAGTAGAACTAATAATTACAAACCCTGATGGATGTGACCTGTAATTCTGAGAGCTGAAGAATCACTAGCTGGTTGAAAGAGAACATGTGTTCCCCTTGTGCTGGTGATCACCTAGAAAAAAACAAGGGCCTTTGCAAATGTGTTTTACAGTTTAACAAAAATGATCACTGCTGAACTGTTCTTCAGTTTATTTCGTTCTCTGAGTGTATGTTATTGTTACTTTTTATTTTGAATTGTACACATATGGCAAACTGTTTTACTTTTTTTCTTACTCCTTTTCTTATAGACTGTGTAAAAGACAAATGGCCTACTAAATATTCAGTAGGCTGTTATGCTTTAAATAAACTATAAATAAAAACAATCCATCGGGGAAGAAAATCCACTTTCCCCCTATTTTTACCTGTAATCACTCATGACTCTCTTGTAAGAAAAAAACAAATAGAAGAAACATTTGAAATTTTACATTTGAGCACAGACCACTGTATAATAAAATCCAGTACACAGCCTTTACCCATTGAGTATAATTACCCAGTGGGTTGCTGGACCCAGCAATAGCGCAGAGCTTTGTACCCTGCTGACCTCAGTGCTGGTCCTATGCCCGGATGCCCTGAATATCAGTTTCAAACCAGTCTTAACCAGGCTCATGCCAAATCTGCACCTAGTTTAGCAGCCCCTCAGTCCTTAGCAGCCGGCTCACTCTGCTGTCCATGCTGCCTTCCCCCTCCGTTAGCTCACAGCTTTGCGTTTGGCTGCTGCCCTCATCTGCACGTAAGGGAGCAAGACCTGGAAAGTGTTAATTGCACAATGGACAGTAGCAGCATGGAGTCTTATTTCCCACCTTTCCCGGAACGGCTCCAGCAGGGATGGCTGAGAGTAGTTTGAGCCTTCTCTCAAACTTTATGCCATAAATGCTCTGCTTGGATCTTCAGGATGAAATACTAATACTTAATGGAGAGTGATCAAAATAATGGAGAGTGATCAAAATAATGGAGGAAGCGTATTTCTCCACAGCAGTCATTGCCTAGCCACCAAAAATACGGAAAGGATATTTGTTCAGTTAAATTCAATAGTCTCTAGCAAACATATGATCAGGTGCATAATTTTAAAAGCTGCACATTTTTAATGAACTGACTCAGGATCTTGACAGCTGCAGAGACAGGTGGCTGATGATAACACCTTTGCATTTAAAAGGTTTTTTTGGTTCGGGGGGAGGAGGACAGCATCTTAATCTGTAAGTGATCTATGTCATCTGAGCTGTGATGTGACGTTAGGTTTAATATGATTTTCAAATCCCTCCAGGTAAAGACAGTTTAATGCAATTATCTTCTGCTTGTGAATGAAGAAATATCCATAAAAAACAAATTCCTGCTACACATTTACTTCAAGACACTCTCGCAGGTAAAGTTTTCTTTTT